TTTGGAGATGTACCTATCTTTGTCCGCGTTACCCGTCCAGAGGTAAGCTCCAAGTTTCTTTTTGAGGTTGGTAAAGAAATCTGGGGGCGGATTCCTGAGAGAAGCCACATACCATCCCATAGATAAAATTGAGGTGTTAAGCACTAAGACCCTTCCCATGAGAGACACGCACGCTGTCTGCCACCCTGTCAGTTTGTTGGCCATCTTGACGAGGAGACTGATGCCTGAGGCCTCTCTGACTCCGTCCTCTGATACTTGGATGCCCAAGAAACGCACGGGTTGCTGCGCATCCAGCCATTGTAACCCTCGTGTCTCTTGCGTTTGTTGTGGGGGGTCGGAAGAGGATAACCACCATCCTACTGTTTATTCCAGTTTATCTTCATTTCCGAGGCTAGCTGGAATGCCTGCATTGCTTTCATGAGTGCGAGGAAGGACGAATCCGTTGCCCTGATAAGAACGGTCAGGTCATCTGCGAATAGCATTACTGTGGGAATAGTTATGGGTCTACCATCATGCTCTGCCGAGAGTCTTTCTATGGATGGGTCCTTGCGGAGAAAGGCAGCTATTGCTTCCATCACGAAAAGGAAGATCGGGGCTGCCAACGGGTCTCCTTGTCTAACAGATCTTGTCATTTTTTATTTTTCCGAAAGATGACCGTTGACTTGTACCAACCCTTGGGCGTCGCCATATAGCACCCTTATCCATTTTCTGAAGTTTGGTCCTACACCCATTTTTTCCATGCTTACCTGCAAGAAGTCCCAGTTGACCTGATCGTAAGCTTTTTCGAAATCGAAGAACAGTATGGCAGCTTGTAATTTTTTGTCTTTTATGATTTTAGTGGCTTCGTTTAGGCACACCACATTGTCCAGGATGTATCTTCCCGGAATGAAACCTGTTTGGTCTAGATGGAAGCATTTGTCCGTGACATTCCTTATTCTATTGGCTAGGGTTTTGGCCAATATTTTGTATACTACCAGTAGGAGGGTTATAGGCCTATAGTTTCTTATGTCTGCTCTTTCTCCTTTTTTATATAGAAGGGTGACTACCCACGTGCTGACCTCTTCCCCGAGAGATCCCTTGTCAAAGGCTTCTAGGAAGAATGATGTGATTGTATCTCCCATTAGGTGCCAATTGGCCTGCCACCGTCTAAACCGGGGTTTTTGTGCGGTTTCATGCTCTTGAGGGCTTCATAAAGTTCACCCTTGGTGATTTCTTTGTCCAAGTAGACTATGGCTTCTTGTTTGAGACTTTTGTCCAGGTGCTTCATGAATTTTTCTCTAGCTTTCTGCGTGTTATTGCTTTCTTCCGGACTACTTTTGGATGTGTAAAGACTTTGATAGAAATCTGCGACCACTTTTAACATTCCTTTTTGTGTAGACTGCACATTGTCTTGAGCATCTCTGAGACTATGGATCCTACTGTTCCTGTGATTTGCCTTGATCTTCTGAAAAAAATATTTCGTCATAGCTTCATTGCTTTCCCAATCCCTTACCCTTGCCCTGATGGCCAGACCTTGCCTTTTCYACTCTGCCCATTGTGTGAGCTCTGCTCTGGCTTCCTCTAAAAGTTGCTCGTATAGCGGTTCTCCTGGGTTGGCAATGAGGTTAAATTTTGCAARTTCAACCATTGCTTCAAGGCTTTCTTGCCTTGCTTTCCTCCTTCTGGCCTCCTTCCTCGAGAAGAGACTTGCCCAGTCCCTTAAGCTTCGGATTGCTGTCGGTAGGTCATTTAGGATATGCCCTTCCTTGAAATTTTCTTTTATTTCCTTCCACTTACTTTGAATTCCCTGTTTGAATGTGGCCATATTGAGAAGTGATGTGTTCAATTTGAAAAAGCTCTTCCCTGGGGAGTTATCTAGGGTAAGTGCTAAATTGATGGCTATTGGGTTGTCATCGATCCTTATATAGTGTGGTAGCCTTCCTATAAGACTATCTATAACTGCCCCTTCTAGTGACTGTGAAATGAGAAAGAAGTCGATTCTCGAGAAGGATGTTCTACCTTGGTTTGTTTTTTTGATACAAGTATAGTCCTTTTTGTGCGGGTTGAGCATCCTATAAGGATCTATGAGATTGTTTTCTATTGCAAGTTGTGCTAGAGCTGTTGCCGTTGGGTCTTGGGAGGTTTCTTCTGCCCAAGATATCCTATCTAGCTGCGGGTTTTGAACTGTATCCCAATCCCCTACTAATATTGTGTGCATCTATTGTTGGTAGAGGTCCTTGACTTCTTCAAAAAATTATATTCTCTCCGCTGAAGAATTGGGGGCGTAGATATTTATAATTGAGAGATCCTCCCCCCTATATGTTATCTCTACTTTG